TAAAACAATCTATGGAAAGGCTATCAATTCTAGGTGCACTACTTGTTTGTACTTTTTCATGTATTTGTTTGTTTCTTTGTATATGCTGTGGCAGCTCAAAGAAATAGAAGAACCTTTACTTTGCCCTCTGTATTCATCACGACCCACTTGCAGAGCCAGTGCGATCTATCAATGTAATCTCAAACCCAAGAAATTTTGCAGGTCCCTTTTCTTTCTTCACCCAAAATATACACACAATATCAGTTGAGTGTTAGGATTCTGTAAGACACATACTGCATTATTTCAAGAGGAATCACACTGCAATCAGTGGTTCGTATTCATAGCATTGTTAGCCCTGATTGATTGAAAATGGGGTTAACTGCAGAAGGAGAAACACTGTGTTCATTTACAGAAAAGGTACCCGTAATGATCTAAAAGTATGGTTAAAAATAGGGGGAGGTTATATGGTAAAACTTCTAATTTGGTGACTAAGAGCAACCTACTATTTATTACTCAATCAAGACTGACTGGCAAGTACAATTTTCTCTTCGGATAGCTATATTAGAGTACAAACTGAAGCACCCAGAAAATAATCCCACTTAGTGTGTAGAAACACAGAAAAATCAGCAATTATTAACAAACGAAGTGAAAATTTCCAAGAGATAACATTCCTTCATTCTATGGCCGAGGCACGACAAAAAAAGACAAAAACAAACAAACAGTAAGGTTATGACTTCGAAGGTTGATATGGGTCAAAACAAGACTATCAAAGTGACACAATGTTCATTTTTAATTAGACTTCCTCATGTGACATCAAATTGGTTTTTTTTCTAAGAAACAGCACTTCAGCAAGGCATGAAATCCTCACAGCTTAGTTTATTAGGAGGCAACAAAGGGATTCCAATCTGCTACAAGAAAGTTTCAGCCTATAAGCACAGCCAGTGCAGTACAAAATTGTGTCATATGAATTTTAATGTGACACAAGTATGAAAGAGTCCAAAAGAACAAAGGCAACACAGTCCTGTTCCACACCACATAAATGACCTATTCTGATCTGAACAGCACACCACATTGCAATCACATTTATTTCAAAGAAGGGTCACACAGATCAAATGTAATGGCTGCTGGAATGAGTATTTCCTTTATGCAGCATTAGAGAAAAGCAAAATATCAAACAATGTGGGAATGCCAGGGCACTGAAAAGAAAGGCATATTTAGGCTGCAGGGAAACAGATTTTATAAAGATGTTTTAATTACAGTCATCCTCAATGACTACAGTTTCTAAGTTTCAAAGACACCATGATACCTTGATAAAGACATGATGAATACACATGAGCTTGCCTAGTGCATAGCCTTGAACATATATTTGACATTTCAAGGCACCAGAGGAAGGTTTCATGCACAGCTCATGCCTAACAGAAGTAAGGAGACAAACTAAGTGTTCAGACTGGCTGGATGTCTCTTTGTGGCCTGATATCTTCATGGCAGTAATCATGATACTCCCAGAGTCAGAATACATCAACAGAGTGGCTGGTAAACCTCCTCAACTGACTATCCAACCTTACAACAAAAGCAACTTTAGCATCATAAAGGTATCAGAACAATGAGGTCTACTTCAAAATACTGGACTGTCAGAAAAATTTACTTATTTACTTACAATTTACTTATTTATGAATTTCTGTAAACAAGCACGTAAGGATTACAGTGAAAAGCAGGCAAAATAAAAGTTAATAATCAAGTATCACTAAACAAAAAAGTAAGGACAAATTCTTGCAGTTCTTCTTGCCGTGTATTTCCATGATTTAGGCATAATTTTTGTCTTCAAATCACTTTTCTGAACAGAATCAATTACTGATGGGAAAACAGCTTGAGTCCTGACTTCATGAATACAATGAATAGAATTTGAAGGTATGTGGGGAGTAGGCAGACAGGGTAACAAGTACTTAAAGCAAGGTATAGGTGTAAAATGTCAGAAGTAAACATAATACATTAAGAAAAATAATGAGTATTTCTATTTTATAATTAGATGAAGATTTACTACTTGGGTTTCTGTAAATTAAATTCTTAAAGAAGTAAATTCTACCAGAAAGGTCTCCTTAAATGAAAGCTTGTTGTTGTGGGTTTTTTTCAATAAAATGAAAATATACTATTGAAGTTTCTTCAATTTGATTCCTCGCCAGGGCTCCCTTAGTCACAAAACAAAACAGAATAAAAGCTGAATTGGAAGAATTTCCATAACAAATTGGCTACCAGCCTAAAGGTTAGAATTATCTGTATTGCCCAAGTCTAGCACTAAAACTGGTATTAGACACCTCAGCTCTCCAAGTTTTAATCAATCTGCTTTTCAGGAGACTTTGAAATATTCAAAGAATGTAGATTATTATGTCCAAAAAAAAAGCTACCCAGTAACTTCCAGTGTGTAAGAATGAAACGTAACATAGCAAGAGATAAAACTCTATTGCCACATTTAAAAATTATCTTACCATTAGTTTCCAGAACCTATAGCTCTCTTCCCTTTTTTGGGAGTTAAAAATATTCATTTTCTAGCAGACATTTATATTCTTGAAAACTGAAGTATTCACCTACATCATGATGGATCCAGTGAAAGTCATTAAGGTCTGGACTTGGATACAGACATAAAGGAAAAAAAGAAAAATCTTTAATGTTTCACTGGGTGAATAAAAATTGCATTAATTTAGATATTCAGTCACAAGAATCCAATTAGCTATGGATATATACACACATATTCATACCTTTCAACCATCACATTCATTTGAATGTTGATGCTATTTTCTATAAAATATAATCCCTTTTAAACTGTATTTAATAGATTTATTCAGATGTGCATTTCCATATGTCATATTTAAGCTTATACTACCACCTGCCTGAGGCTGTATAGTCTGAATTGTCACCCTCACACATTTCAGTAGGAAAAAATCCTCCACAGACACCATATGAACAATTTCCCTTCTGCTTAGTGTAGAGGTATGATAATCATTATGACCATGGAAAACATCTATGCAAAAAAAAGTTTTATGTATCTCCCTTAAAAAATCAGATGACATCTTCAAAACAAAAAATATAAAAGCTACATAAAATGAAATATCACACTCTCCACCATTTTTTTACACAGGTCAGCAAGTATCATCCAAGATTCCTGCAATATGAACTCTACATTTGTTGCACGTATGACATAGACATAGATATATAAAAGTATTTGCATACATAGAGATATGCATATACATAATTTCACACTTAAAGGACACTTGAGATGGCTTCAAAGCCAGATTTGCAAAGCAAATAGATTAACTCTGCTTCCAACTACTAACATCAAGGTGATGGGATACCATGATCTCCCTGCTTTGTGTTGGGCCCATCCAATAACACTGCTGAGCAGCGGAAAAACTGATGAGCAAAGGTTAAGCAGAGGACTGCCAGAAACAAACTGAGGCTTAGAAATTGCTTCTTCAGATAAGATTAATGCTTGACTGATGCACAGAGTGACTTTGGGGTTGCAAAATCATTAAGAACATCCATTCTCTTTGAATTTACACCATCTCTCAAACATTTGTAGTTGAGGCTATTAAGGGTTTGGACAAAACTTTCCTGTGCTCTTTTGAAATTAACAGCCCTGCCAAGTCACCAAAGTGCTCCAAAGGTCAATTCATGATTAGTGTCCCACCATCCTGCACACTGTGTCTGCAAGCAATGCACAGCATCGGGGGGGGGGGGGGGGGGGGGGGGAAGGGAAAGAGGAGGAGGAGGAGATAAATATTAGCACTGTGATAAGCTCACAGACCACGACTTGGAGGAGGGCAGATTTCACATGGTCCCTGCTGTTACATTTCAGGGGAATCAGTGAGGGACCACCTCCCTGGAAGGGAGAGCTGGTGCAGATCCTGCACTTTTCTGCACACCTGAAGGAAAACCGAAAGAGTGAACACAAAGAACCTCAGACCTCCTCCCAGCCTCAGGCCAACAGGGACTTGGACCTTTCAGGATTACTGGCAACATCAATAGCTGTGCAAGCAAGCATTCCGATTTGCTCTCAAAAGGTAGGAGACAGCCCAAACCTGTGATGCCCGGGACCGACTAAGTTTAGAAAATCCTGACCTCTGCACACACCCTGCTCCAACTTCACTGCCTTTTCAAGATTTGCTGCACCCCTTCAGGGAAAGTGCCCATGGCCAATCTGACTGCACAAGCGGTGTCCCTGAGCATCCCGGTGGGCGCTGGGAACAGCCACCCTCACCTAAGAGACTGCCCCTAGTTTCAATCACTGTCAGCCTCTGTATCTGCCTTTAGGTTCATGAAGCTGTCACCCCGTTGCTTTCCTGTCCATCCCCGGAGCGCTGCAGGCTCCCATTCCCCAGTCCCCCGTGCCTTAGGGCAGGGCAGAGCACCATCACACCTCCACGCCTGCTCTTCTCTGTTACTCCGGTATCAGCAAAGTGTTTTCTGACCCTGCCCCGACTGAAAACATCCCTCTCCGAAATAGCAGGGATAGAGAAAGGGAGAATCTGTATACAAAGTTTACAGCTCCTGCTTGCGCCTTCCTCTCCCCACCCAAGCTCTTGCCGGAGGCAGCAAGGCGACGGGCAGGGGAGCGCAGGGACGGCCAAAGGGGAGTGTCAGCCCCGGGCTGGGGGACTCGAGGAGGACAGTGACCCTGGCGGGCGATCGCCGAGAGAGCAGGGAGGAGCGGCGCCTTCCCGGAGAGGGGAGCAGCCGGCTCACTCCGAGGCGCAATGGCAGCACAGCCCCACCGACCCCTCCGGAGCCGGGAGCGAACTCCAAGCTCCGGCAGTGGCACCAGCAGAAGCAGCAGCAGCAGCACCAGCGGCAGCCCCAGCAGCAGCGGCAGCAGCCCCAGGAGCAGCAGCAGCAGCAGCAGCAGCAGGTCGCCGCGCCCCACGCTGGCGGCCCCGGCCCGGGGCACCACCGTCCCCCCGGCCGACGAGGCGATGCCCAGCCCCTTGCCCCCACACCGGGCAGGGCCGGCGAAGGGAAAAAGAACTCACCCCCAGCTTCCTGCTGCGGATTTTTACGTAGCCCTGCTTGACTATATCGTTAAAGTTGGAGGCCATGGCAAGCGCTGCCTGCTTCCTCCCTTCCGCGCCCGGAGTCCTCCTCCGCCGCCGCCAACGTCGCCTCCTCCTCCTCCTCTCCCGGGCCCTCCCGGGTGCCGCCGGCCGCTGGCTCCAGAGGCGCTTCTGGCATCCAGGCAGCGGCAGCCGCCGCGCTCCGCTCCGCCCGCGCCCCGCTCCTCCCGCGGCCGCCCCGCTCCGCACCGCACCGCCCCGCCGGGCGGGTGGCGGCCGCTCCGCCCCGCTCCGCTCTCCGCCGGCCCCTCGCTGCTTTGCCCCGCTCCGCCACCGCCCCTCGCCCGGCTCCGCTCCGCTCAGCTCCGCCCGGCGGCGGCTTCGCGGCTGCCCGCGCCTACGG